GCGGCCGCGTCTACGTCGAGGCTCGCTTACGAACTCTTCTGGTAATCGGAATCATCCGTCTCAGTGTGATGACGTCGAGGTGTCATATGCAGCACCGACCGTGAACGCGCGATCGCAGGAACATGTCCGCGAACTGCGCTTCTCTGCACGACGGAGTGAACTGGAAGAGGATACTACTTCTCGGGGAAAGAAGAGTCGGGCGTCTCGAAACCTCTCACCGGAGGTTGTGATATAACGTTCTATTTCTGTGCCATCGTACGCGAAACGCGAAGGACCTATCCACGAAGTAAAAGCGCGAGAGCATCTCCGTCACGACGTCGCTCGATCGTTAATCTTTCTTGCTCTTCGGTATAAGCTTATTGAAAAAAATGCTGGTGTGTGTTCGCTATACGTAATCTTTACATCCGTTAGTCCGTTTGATTTGTATCGAATATGTACGCGGATCTCGATACAGTGCTCGACAAGCTTATATGCGCTGTCATATTGATAAAACAACTTGTTTAAATTCAGCGAATATTTTAACATCTGACGTCCAATTCATAGTGATCATTTAAAGCCTTAGGGCACATAGGGAAACTTAAGATGTAAGACTTGAGCAGTAAGAAAATCAACATGTTGGATTCGCTATTACTTACTTACCTTACGTTATGGTCTCTACCGTGATTGGTCGATTCGCTTACTACTTAAGTCTTACGTCTAAAGGTTTTCTTATGTACCATGGCCTTTAAGAAGAAAAAAACAAGAAAACCCAACTACTTTTTTGATTTGGAGCTTTGAATATGTTGTGTAAACTCCAAATAATTTACACCAAATGGAGCTAAGTATATTCAATAAAGTTGTTTTCCGAAAACGATGTTGCGATTTGGTCTTATATATCAATTTATTCATTGTTTATATTATTCTATTTGTACTTTTAATATTTCGTAAAAAATGGCTGATTTTATTTTTAATGCTTATTTTTAATGCAAAAATTGTATTGTCTTCGCATATGGAAATTATCATACATGACTGAATTTAGCGCTTTTAGATAATACACGAGATTACAGGAAATCGACGATTTATATTTTTTAGATAATACACGAGATTAGAGGAAACCGATATTTATATAGAGAAACGTAAAATTAGTTCATTTTAAGATTGTATCCCTTAAAGTGAGGTTGAATATTTTTAAGAAAATGTACATCTTTCATTTTAATCTATATCGTAACGTTCATATATCCAAAGCTCATTAAAATCAAGGGAGGGGATGCCGAGACGGTTGAGTTTTTTTTTCTTTATAAATTCTTTATTTTCAATAAAAATTTAACGATCTATTTTCGCTTGCATTATTTTGCATGTAATTTTCGGATTTCTTTTATCACTGCGCAGTACAACGCAATTTCGAGGCAATCTGTATCGAGGTCCGGGTGTTTATCTGTTCCAATATACCATATGATGGCCGCAATCCGTGAATTGTCTTGTGTAAGATGCTTCGGTTGCTCGTTATTGTTCAATCGAAATTCTTAAGCGAACTATTCCGAATGCGTATTAAAAATTTCAAACGGTCCAAGCGATCCAAACTGAAACAACGGGACGTCGTAAGATTTTAAAAGACATTTGTTAGACATTCTAATCTTTCAAACATCTTAATCTTTCGCACCTGGGACATTCTTTCGTGGTAACTTGCTCCTGCATTACACGGGCGACGACTACATGGAAGACTTCTCTTATGCACATCGACGGTATTCCCTGTATATTCTCCTGCATCGTAATCAAAACTGCAGTCCGTATGGAACTTCCTTATAAGCACGCGATATTCCTTGAATGTTATATAAATATTATTTATCTGTTTTAATATTCATATAAAATTCTAAGAATATTGTGTCTTATAGGGTCACGGTAGACTTCGATTATCGGTAGCTAACGTGTATAGATAACGATTAGAGATAACCGGCATTGAACTAGCGGCCAAAAATCAAGCAGCTCGTTACAATTCAGTCCCTACATTCGGCGTGCGTGCGCGCGGAGCGCGAGGCGAGGGTACGCGCATATGTACGCATAATTTTTGTAATAAGACAATCGCGCGCCGATTCGGATGCGTAGCTCGTGCCGGTCTCCTTATCGGAGTTTGATACGTAGCCGATATCACGTACACGTTGCGACACGATGCATGGCCAAAAAGTCTTGTTCCTATTTCTCTTAGTATGTATGTGTGTGTGAGACTAACGATACGGCCGATTTCCGGACGGTCATATCAGGAAAAAGAAACAAAAAGAAAGAAGAGAAAGAAAAGAAAAAGAAGAGTAAACGAATAAATAGAAACTGGTCTATCTCCCAGCATCTTCCGCAACGATCGCGCGCGTCCGAACGCGTAGACGCCGCACGTGGCAATCTTATCTTGCGACCGCCAGTTGTTTGAATGTCTCCATCATATACATATAAAACAACTGCGTTCGACGCGCCGAACGAAAGGTCGGAACAGAGTGAGAAAAAGCTAGAAGCTAATCGCTCGCGCGATTAAATCCCGGTACGTAGACGCGTGACGGGCTTCTCGTTTAATATAAATGCCTAGTACTTATAGTATTTTCACCGTTAATTTATTGACCCTAATGTAAAAGCGGCGACAGCCGAGGCGGTTAATAGTCGACTGAGTGATAGGGGGCGAAAAGGGGCGAGAGGACGTAATAAAGAGGGTTGAAATGGGACGGACACATTGGGAATTAGCGGATCATCGATATATTAGTACAACGTTACGGTAAAAACGGTTGCGGAAGGGATTATAGCATTATTTATCGAAAGATCAGCGCGCATCTGCGATCCTGATCATCATGCTCGACACGTCGCCTCTATTTTCGTAGGGGCGCGTCACGCGCTTCTCCGTCTTCGAATTACATTTACGAATGTGGGGAAGATTGCGGTGCATGAGGGGGGGCTGAGATCGACGGAGACAATTACGATCTCACGTAAGTCGATACGAAAAGGCGAACACAGTTGTAGCTAGGCAGTGGTCTATGGGATGATCGAACAGGACGATATAATGATTTGGAGCTTGATGTGATATAATACTTATGTGCCAAATAGCGTTTTCGCGGGCGGGGGGTTAATCAAAAAAAAGGAAAAAGAAGAAGAGAGAGAGTGAGAGAAAAACCTCTAGTTCCGAGTCGCCTCGTTGGCTCGACGTGAAACGAATTTTTTGCGTCTCCTCCTTTTTTCACGTTTTCTTCTTTTTGTTATTTATAATCAGTGCAATTACATACACACACGGTACCTAATATAATTTTATAAAGAGAGCCAGTATCCTCGATATATCTGCACCCGTTTTGTTGGGGCTCGACCGGCATCAGATTTAAGGTAGCTTAATGTTGATAATAATTTATTTTATGTATATAATGGATTCTTACATTGTGTCGGGAGATAATCATCGATCCGCGGTCCGACACGAGCGTCAATATTATTAATGTACAGTGTAACTATATTGTGATGTATCTACGTAGCTACATTATATATATAACTATTTGAAGTATGTAGATTAATAATGTTAAACGCGATATGTATTCTTATTTTCAATGTCATTATTATCTTTATTATTATCTTTATTATTATTATTATTATTATTATTATTGAGATGGCACCATTATTATTATTATTATTATTATCATTATTATAAATATTACAGTTATCAATATCATCGTTGCTTATTTAGTACACTATTATTTAAGTGACGAGCCTTATTATTTTTAGTAGCAAGAAAAAGGTTGTACGTGCCAGTTTTAGACAAGAACGGCAAGTGAAAGTTCGTTGGTCGTTTATGCTCGAATACTCAATCAAATTTTAATGCAATATTTCTATGTGCATGTTTCCTTCGTTTGAGCCGTTTTCTTCATCTGTGATGATTTTGGAATACTGCATCTAGGAATTTCAATTTTATATCACATTCATGATCTTCATTTTAAAGTTTTAAAATATATTTTTCTCTTTAGATCAATTTTTCATTGTCACTTTCAAAAGTAAGTTTCGAAAGAAATTCAATTTTCTTTTAATCATTTTACTATTAAACAATGGCAATTTTTCATTTAGCAGAAAAAATGATATATTTTGGGTAAATAATCTACCAATTGCATTTTTTTTTCAATTGTGCCATACCTTCGTTATAAACATTGAAAAATTTAATTGTTTTCACGTTTGTAAAATTTTAAAGTTAAACCACCTGACAATGTAACTCGCGCGTGCAATGGAGTTTGGGTCCGCGTTTCTCTTTTTTAAAAATCTTACCGATTCTTATTGTTGCCCGCAGTGTTTGCTTTGATAAAAATCGGTTTTGCATTCCATCGATTGCGATTTCCACCCACACAATAATCGTTGAAATTAGCAACGATATTTAGTCCGTGGCGATCTCCTTACTTTCAAATATCACGAATGTTACGCGATAATATATCAGCACACGATTATTATATTTACTGGCCTTTACATGCAACCAATGCGAATGCAAACTGTAAGAATAGTAAATTGTAAATCGAATTACACTACTAATATTATAATATATTTAACGTAAAGAAAAAGTGAACACTAACATCTCCGCTCTCAATATTCCAAGCATTCACTTCATTTACATGTACGTTGTTGTTAATGGTATAAAAAATATAATAAAATAACGCTTTACCGAAATTCAATCTTAGTTTTAGGGGTATACGACACTATTTCTAGATGAAAAACTTGTATGTATGAGGGATGTATATAGTTATGCAGTACCAGTGCAAATGAAGAGAGAAAGAGGGAGTGAAAGAGAACGAAAGAAAGAATAAAAGAGAGGGAGAAAGAGAAAGAGAGTGAAAGGTAGTGAATATAAAAACCAGTCAGACGATGTGTATGTATGAATGAAATAGAATTCTCACGATCATCTTAACACTACTCGTGTCGTGATCGTAGTACATTATCGGTATATCATTATCAATAGCATAAAATCAAAATATATAT